CTTTCTTTCCTTTCTTTCCTCAGGATTTTCACTCTTGTCGCCCAGGCTGGAGTGCAGTGTCGCGATTTCAGCTCACTGCAACCTCCGCCTCCTGGGTTGAAGCGATTCTCCAGCCTCAGTCTTCTGAGTAGCTGGGATTACAGGTGCGCGCCACCCCACCCGGCTAATTTTTTGTATGTTTAGTGGAGACGCGGTTTCGCCATGTTGGCCAGGCTGTTCTTGAACTCCTGACTTCAAGTGATCTGCCTGCCTTGGCCTCCCAAAGTGCTGAGATTACAGGCGTGAGCCATTGTGCCCGGCAGTCAGCTAGAACTTTCTAGTCAAAATTGCAAACCCCAGTTGTAGTGAAAGAGTTTAAAATAAGGATAGAGGAAATAATTATTCAAGGCTATTTTCAAAATCTATGAGACTAATTACATACATAAGATATCACTTCTGTAAGACAAGTTCATTTACTTAAGGAGTTGGTGGCTTTTACTAGAGTCACTGGTCAGTGTTTCTGAGAGCTTTTGGAGACCATGGAAAATTGCTGATGTATGACTCAATTTTTATTTTTGGAAAATAATAACAGATATTCATATCCTTACAATTCATATGAACAAATGTTAACCTTTTGTGTATTTGCTTCAGATCTTTTTTACAATTGAAATAAACATTGTAGATAAGGTTATGAAGTACCATTTGAATCCTTAGTTCCATTCTCCCTTCTCAAAAGTAACCCCATTATGAATTTGATGTCTTTCTTTCCAGTCCCTGTTTTTTTACTTCTACTAATTATATATACAGTCATAAACCATATGTAATATTTTTATTTATACAAATAGAATTGTGCTGCAGGTATGTCTCTGCAGTTTGTATTTGGAAACTGTCCATTTATTACATACAACTTTTATTTTTGCATTGCTATTAGTCTGTCATTTCTGTATACAACGTTATATTTATCGATTCTACTTGTAACCTCTGAACTGTTTTGTTTTTCTCATTACCAGCAGAGAGATGAAGAAGGTTAAGAACTTCCTCACAAAAGTCTTCTTATGTAGGAGAATTTCTCTACAGCAGGGTTTCTCCACCTCAGCACTACTGAGATTTAAGGCTGGATAATTCTTGGTTGTGAGGAGATATCTTATCTTATGCATTTTAGAATGTTCAGCAGTGTCCCTGGCATCTACTCACTAGACACCAATAGTACCTTTCCAATTGTGACAACCAAAAATGTCTCCTGCCAAACGTCCCCTGTGCAGCAAAATCACAGGTGGTTGAGAACCACTACGTTACTTGTGTGTACACAGAAGTGGAACTGCTGGTTCAAGTTAAAGTCTTTTTTTTTTTTTTTTTTTTTGAGACAGTCTTGCTCTGTTGACCAGGCTAGAGTGCAGTGGTGGGATCTCGGCTCACTGC